AACATATGACAGTGATTGATTCTGATAAGGGCTGCCAATTCCGAATTGCATGTACAAATTTAAGAGGGCGCGCCAATAGTAGCATGCATGTAAAGTTCAAATATTTTCGTACGGAAAGCTCGCATACCGCAAACATATTGCCAGCCATGCGAACGACAAAAATATTCAGGTGAACGTTCGTCTGAATGTCGAATACGTTCAACCTGATAATACGCAACGCTTAATGATAGCGAACAGCGAATTTGAAAATATGCCCACCCCAACCCCGGCAGGTTTGTGAGGTCCGCAGTTTTAATATCCGTTATCCGTATACAGCATCAAAGTTTGGTTCCGGGACAATGAATGAATAGCTAAAGGCATGTTAGCGGCCCGCACAAAACATATGCGATCCGTGATTCGCCCACGCGCGAGGATACTCTCACGTCAAACCAACCGAATGCAGCGCCATCTATAAGCAGTACTATGAAGCTGCTCGATGGCAAAATGATTTACGCAATGATATATAGAGGATAATTAAACTGCTTCCGTGTAATACCATTTTTATTAAACGAGTTATCGATTTGGCATCAAACGAGCGAAAGCGAGTTTGATAGTCCATTCATTGAGTTTAATACGTACCAGCCCACGGTTGCTGGCATCGTTGATGCCATCAACATAAATTGATAAACCAGCCTACGGCAATACCAGCAATAATGCCGTAAAATATTACCCATCACGGGCGAGTAATAAAGAGGATATTTAACGAGTTCCATAATAAACGGTTTTACCAGTCGAATTGATTCTTCAATAGTATTTCGACGGCCGTGGAACTCGCCCGTGGAAGATAATGCAGTGTACGTTTTTACAGCAATATTACACTAGGGAATACCATGTTGATACGCGCGACGCTAACGGTTGCGATACAAGCAATATCGAATAATACCTCTGTCACAATGGTATATCCTGCCGACCGAAGTTCGAGATTACCACTTCGTTGGTGTTCAACAGTTTGCGTTGAGATACGAAACGAAGAACGCTCTTAGCCATTTTGCCATCCTGCCGTTTGATACTAAATCATTACCTGTTTACTGAAATACGTCGAAGTTTTCCGGTGGTGATCTCGAGAGAATAAATAGAATCGCATCCCGACCAAGTCGACCGCCAGTCTGTGTTAATTCGTTTCCATAGTTTAATTGACAAAACTCAATCTTGCACTAACAAGGTTTTGAAACAAAATCGGCGAAAAATAGTCTTCAATGCCAAAATGTGGCATTGGCTAAACTATGCCGTTATAGTATCTGGCGAATTAGTGCTGTTCGGGTTCGTCACGCCGAAGACTGGCCCGATTCCCACATGATACAAATGGTGAAGCTAATTCCTGTGTGATATTGCTGGAATATTGGTAAAGTTGGGCTTCGCCAAATCCAAACTCAATGGCCTGATTTGCTCGGCAGTTATAGTAGTAAAGGTTGAGTACACCGAGTTGTTTTATGTTTCGTCATCAACCGAAATCAAATAGTAGCGTTTGTTTTGACAAACGGATCATTTGGTCATAATTCCAACAGTTTATGCTGTAGATTCAGTCCAGTGCGTCATTGGTTAAAATAATTAGGTATTGCAGCGACCGCCGTTCTCGTTGTTTAATGAAGAGTGGTTAGATTTGAAATGATTGCTGCATCGTCGTACCACGACTTACAAGAAGAGATAAGAGGATTTTGTTTATTTATTAGTATATTATATTTTCACAGAGGCGGGGACAATGGATTATAAGAATCGCCGCCGGCAGCGTATATTCGTTGTCTTGGCATTGCGAAATGGTTAATCTTCCGGTTCAGAAATGAATGATTCATACGGTGACACCGCCAGCAGGTTTTCCGCATTATTAATTGCAGCATCTAACGTTCGTTGTTTCATCCAAAGAACATTTCTTGGCGGCTCCAGACCAATTGAGTCACAGTAGCAGTTCGCTGGTCCGATGAGAATTGTCGCCAGTGTGTTTGATCGAAATTAGGCAAAACCAGAAAATAATTGAGTTAAAGTTGATATTTCTGCTCGGTTTAAAGCGCATTCTGAATCCGAAGAGGAATGAAGCGGTCCGCGAAAATGTCATTACTGTTAACCATCACTGACATTGTTGCTGAAGGCTGTTCGAAGCAATTGGGGCGCTCATTGGTGTCGAATTTTACCGAGCTGCGAGCAACGCCTGTTCTGCGGCGGTTTATAAACAATAAAAGCCTTTAAAACAACGACGGAGGCACCTGGGTACTTAAGAAATTAGTGTGAGGAAGGACGTGAGATGATTGGGGTGGTTAAAACACGAGCATGGTTCGTATAGCCTTCAAGACATTACAACCAAGCGTAATTCAATCGACCAAATCACTAGACCTACGTCCAAGAATGTCAATCGATCAACCATCAGACGTACACAACCAGTGCATCACGTCGCAAACCGCTAGACGACGCAACCAAGGTATATCAATCAATTTCAACAAGACGTACAACCAAGCGTATCAATCACCAAATCACTAGACGTACAACCAAGCGTATCAATCATCAAACTAGACGACGCAACCAAGTGCATCAATCACCAAAACTAGACGTACAACGGCAAGAGTATCAATCACCACAACTACGACGCACAACCTGAGCGTATCATCACCAACAACGTACAAACCAACGTATGGATCATCGCCAAACTAGCCAACCAAGAATATCAATCACCAAATCACTGGACGTACAACCAAGCGTATCAGTCACCAAACCACTCGGATCGCACAACCAGCGTATCGAGCAACTAAACCATGACGTTCCAGCCGAAGGCGTATCAATCACTGGACAAACCACTAGACGTACAACCAAGCGTATCAATCACTCAAAACCACTAGACGTACAACCAAGCCAAGCGTATCAATCACCAAACCACTAGATCACGTACACAAATCTACAACCAAGCGTATCAATCACCAAACATACAAGACTTACAACCAAGCGTATCAATCACCAAACCACAAGACGTACAACCTAAGCGTATCAATCACCAAACCACAAGACGTACAACCAAGCGTATCAATCAGCAAACCACTAGACGTACAACCAAGCGTATCAATCACCAAACCACTAGACGTACAACCAAGCGTATCAATCACCAAACCACTAGACGTACAACCAAGCGTATCAATCACCAAACCACAAGACGTCACCAAATCCACCAAGACGTACAATAAGCGTATCAATCCGCAAACCACAAGACGTACAAAAGCGTATCAATCACCAAACCACAAGACGTACAACCAAGCGTATCAGTCACCAAACCACTAGACGTACAACCAAGCGTATCAATCACCAAACCACTAGACGTACAACCAAGCGTATCAATCACCAAACCACTAGACGTACAACCAAGCGTATCAATCACCAAACAACTGGACGTACAATCAACCGTATCAATCACCAAACCACTAGACGTACAACTCGTCACGATATGGCTGAAATATTGCCGATGTGACGTTAAATAATAACTCACTCACTCACTAGACGTACAACCAAGCGTATCAATCACCAAACCACAAGACGTACAACCAAGCGTATCAGTCACCAAACCACTGGACGTACAACCAACCGTATCAATCACCAAACAACTGGACGTACAACCAAGCGTATCAATCACCAAACCACAAGACGTACAACCAAGCGTATCAATCAGCAAACAACTGGACGTACAACCAAGCGTATCAATCACCAAACCACTGGACGTACAACCAACCGTATCAATCACCAAACAACTGGACGTACAACCAAGAGTATCAATCACCAAACCACAAGACGTACAACCAAGCGTATCAATCACCAAACCACAAGACGTACAACCAAGCGTATCAGTCACCAAACCACTGGACGTACAACCAACCGTATCAATCACCAAACAACTGGACGTACAACCAAGAGTATCAATCACCAAACTGCTGGACGTACAACCAAGAGTACAATCACCAAACTAGACGTACAACCAACAGTATCTCCATCTGCAGCTGTACACCATCAAGAAACCACCAGATGTATCAGATGTATGTATGAAATACAAACGAAGCTGCACCATAACTGAAGCAAAATACCGACATTATTTTTGTAATGAAACTTACATAGCGAACATGAAGGAAAGGAGAAGACATATTTCCATTTGAAACGATACTGTTTAAAACGGTACACACATCAGGCTCTACAAGTTTTGACTAAATATGCATGTATTATTTTAAAATTTAATCATTTCATAAAATGTGTAAAGTTCGACCGTAGTGGGAACGTGGTGGGCACGGCGGCTACCACAGTAACGACAAAGGCCAACTCTCAGCCATGGAATGGATTGGTTATGCGTCCTGGACGTTTGTTATTGAAATTCAGTTATAAACTTCGTGCAGTGCCAACTGTGAATTTGTCTCTGCGTGGAGTTAGGATTGAACTTAGTCTCAAAGTCTCAAACCCCGGACCCTAATAGAGGAGGTCGCTGTGTACGAGCAGAAACCATATAATAGATATGGAAACACTGGAAAAACTATGAACGGTTAATGTTGATCGAAGTCGCTCATTGTAAATCAAGTCCGTTTATTATATCACATATTCAATTCTTGTTGTCGTTCTGAGGACATTTTTGGAGTAAATGATAGCGAAAGTAGTCGGGGAATCCCCTGGTAAAACCGATACCATAAATAGATGAGGTGGCAGCCTCCTGACAGGTGGGCAGAAAAGGTGAGATTCGTTTTACCAATATAAAATCCGATATGATATCGTTGATAACAACAGACGAAATGTTTATAACTGTTTGATAGCTAAAGTGTTATTTTCTGTGCACATATTTTCAGTGCACATAAACTTATACTTATCGGAGACTACCTATATCTTGCCTGTCAAAAATTCAAAATTCAAATTCTATGATGTTAAGTGCCCATTCTAAATAATGAGTTCATTTAATTAGCTTGTATATTTTGCCAGAATAGATTGATTAGAAGACAATGAACACCAGGAGTATGACAACTAATGGAAGTGACAACTGTGACACTGGCAGTAAAGTAATTCTGTGGGATGAGGAAAGAAGTGGTGGGACTGCAGACAGGGACCAAGTGGAGGTTGGTTTGGGTCAGTCTAGGATGTCCGTGCTGCCTACACAGGACACTAATGGCAACCAAACCCATCACAGCCATGGAGCTCCACGGACAAGAAGTCAGCTCCCAGACAGGGATGGTGACATCAGTGGTTGTAATACTGGACAGGAGAGCAGTTCATTGCCTCAGCCACAACACCATGAGGTACCTGGCTTGATGGTTGGTCAAGGGAATATGAACTCCCTTCATCCCAGGTCAGGGAGTACACATACAACGGGTAGAACACATACAACAGAGCTATAACATGGATCAAGCCCCAACAGATCCTGGACTGTGCAAACAATGCCGAAATCTTCAGAGATGAAACATCACCCCAGTCCCAACATGGCAGTAATTCAAATAATCAGACTCTCGAAACAGGGAACAGGGACCAGCTGGATGACCCAACACATCTACAGATGGGAGTTAATGATGATTATGTTGGGGATGAAACAGGGTGTGATCTGCCATCCATCTACAGTCAATTAACCACTTTAACAGTAGGTTCTTGTGGAAGTTCTGTTATTCAAACTGATTCATCATCAGGCTATCACTCCCCCATGAGGTCACAACCATCAGACAGCAGCAACTTCTGTAGGCCTGGGAGATCAGCAGGTGGTCAAGCCAGTGGACGAGGAGAAGCAGTCAGTTCATTTGGTCAACATGGACAAGAGTACAATCCATCAGATGTGGACAGTCACCACTCCATTCCATCCCACTGTCTTATGGACCCCCTTGGTCCACCTCGTGAGGAAAGTCGAAAAAAACCCCGCAAAACATCAGAAAACAGACAATCAGGAACCAGTTCAAGACGTACGGACCAAGTGATTTACAAGAGGACAGATGGGGGAGCTGGGATGGAACGAGCTTCACCTTCTGGGGCAACTCAAGGTCATGTAAGGAGTAGTCATGGTGACAGAGAGGCAAGAGCTACACGTAAACATCCCAAACAGAGGAAGAAATTAAAAAAAGAACCAGTAAGTTTGCAAATGTTTTTGGTTATGTGTTCTGTTTATGTGGAAACATCGGTGAACCATTGAAAAATGTCTTAAAAATCCAGGCATGTATTGTTGCAGAGTGATGGCATTGTTAAGTGATGTATCTATAAAAGACAATAATGTCAACATGAACATATAAAGCTAGTGAGTGAGTGAGTGAGTGAGTATTGTTTTTCGCCGCTTTTAGCAATATTCCAGCAATATCACGGCCGGGGACACCAGAAATGGGCTTCACACATTGTACCCATGTGGGGAATCGAACCCGGGTCTTCGGCGTGCCGAGCGAACGCTTTAACCACTAGGCTACCCCACCGCCCCTTTAAAGCTAGTAACATGAGTGGTACAAGGCTTGCAAATGTCCTGAAGGTCAGAGTGTTATGAGACACAGAAATGTGTGTCCAGTACACATGAATTTACAGGTGAGGTGAAATTGGGTTTAATGCCGTGCTTGAGAATATTTTGCTCATATGACGACGTGCATGCGTGTGTATGTGTATGTGCGGCTGCTTGTACTTGCCAAGACTTAAGCTGGTTTTATACCGCTAGCCCACTGAGAGATACCATGCTGCAGTTAAGCATGAATACCCCACTCAGGCACAGTATACTGACTCCGAGCCGACCAGTCCTTGTTGTACCCCTTAATGCCGAGCGCCAGGCAGGGACCATCAAGTACCACATCTTAACGTCTTTTGGTATGACGAGGCTGGGGATCGAACCTGCGACCTACACCATGGAGGCGGTCTAAATGTACAGAATAGATGCAGAATATTATTGCATTCCAAGAGTTGCACAAGAAAAGTCACTGTACCAAATTATTGACAAGAAATACAAAGTTCCTGTAATCAAAGTAGTTACCACATCTTCAGTACACTACAACATTTCATTACATGATCTTCAGTAACGTATGTTATATTTGGGATTACACTTTCTTAGTAAAGTACAGATTCTAGTACTTTTGTTGGGTTGAGTCCCATCCGGGATTCGAACCACATTTGAACACTTTCTAAAATGGCATTGTGTATTTCATAGCTTTTGGCCGTGGGAGCCGTGCCAATTAACACTTATCAGAGGGGTACACAAAGTCCGCAGTCTAGACTACCAGTTGTCCGACTTCCATTTTTGTGGAAGCCGCGGTGGCTGAGCTGTCAAGGTGTCTGACTTTGTGTGCTGGCTTATTAGGTGCCTGACTCTGAGGGTGTGGGTTCTAACTCGGATGGGACTCAACCCCCAAAAGTACTAGAATCTGTACTTTACTAAGAAAGTGTAATCCCAAATATAACATACTTTACATTTGACCACTTTCTAAAATGGCATTGTGTATTTCATGATCTTCAGTAACCCATGCTTGTTGTAAGACAGACAGACAGACAGACAGACAGACAGTTTTATTTCAGTATATAAGGCCATGGCCCACATTACAGAATAATTTTACATTTTATTTGATGCTGGTAAAACCAGTAACAGTCATACATTATTGACTTTGAAAGCTATGGAAACATTTTTGCACAATGTACAGGCATAATATACCCTTCTAAAGAAAAAGTAGCAATACTTATCAAAACATCATCCTTAGATGACACAAGTCTAACAAAACTATCCTTACACGGGTTACCAATATATAGGTAAGGTGGAATATCCTTCCACGGGGGTTACCAATATATAGGTATGGTGGAACACATTCAATCTTATGCATCTTTTAAACATTGACAATTAAATGGTAATCATCTTCAACTACTGGTATGCCTTTGCTATAGCAATATAAACAGAGTCTATTACAGTACAGTGTATTATGCCTCCCTGTTATAGTTGGAGGTTGGAAGCTATTATATCTGAACTAGCTTAAAACATGTTTATAATACTGTAAAATATATCTAAGGAAAAATTTCTTTCAATTTGCACAAGTGTCATAAAGTGACAGTATGTCGTAACAATCATACAATTTTGCTTTGTAATTTGTCTGGCATTTTTGCACAGTGTATAGGCATAACATATCGAAGAAATAACATATGGATCTTAATGTGTAATTTTACGAACCTTCATCAGAAACTTAGCAATACTTATCAAAACATTTTCATCCTTACATGACATAAGTGTTGCAAAACTTTCCCTACCTGGGTTTTTAATATAGGTATGGTGGAAACATTTAATTCTTGCATCTTTATAGCATTGACAAACCATCAATAGGTGGTATTCATCTTCAACTAATGACATGCCTTTGCTATGACAGTATAAACAAAGTCTATTACAGTACAGTGTATTATTATGCCTCCCTGTTTCAATTGCAAGTTTGAAGTTATTACATCTGAACTGGCTTAAAACATGTTTGTAATACCATGGAATGTCTAAGGACAGATATCTTTCAACTTGCAAAATTGTCTTAAATTGACAGTATGTCTGACATTTGCTCAAAAGTGAAACAGTATGATGCCAATCTTGGTTCAAACAATCAGACAATCTCTGCTTAAAAAGTGAGATAAACATTTTTACATTTCCTATGTCTTGACTTATCCATAAAATACCAAAACCAAATTGAAATAAACTATTTCTGATATGCGATGCCCATGTAATTCTCCCTACATCATCAAGTGTCTTAAGCATACAATAAGCTTGATAAGGTATTCTATTGTTATCCATCATAATCAACTTACTCCAATATTTAACCGATTTTAACATGTAATTATACTGAAGGGGAACTCTGCCACATTCACCCAATGCCATAACATTACATGTATATTTATTCAGCCTCAATACCCTTGTTGTAAGAGGCAATGGGATATGGTGGTCTGACTTGGTTGACATGTCATTGTATCCCAGTTGCGTAGATCAATGCTCATGATCTTGATCACTGGATTGTCTGGTCCAGACTGGATTATTTACAGACCGCCGCCATAAAGCTGGAGTATTGCTGAGTGCGGATTTAAACAACAACCAAACCATCTGGTACGATGAGCCATAGTGGTGATGTAACTATGGATGCTTGTGGCATCTAGATATCGGTATGATGAACGAGGAGAGTTCTATGGATGTACAACTTATCCACAGAACTCTCCTTGTTGTTTATGGATGCTTGTCCTATAGCTGGTACACACAAGCATATCCTGTGGGTATTGAATTTACTTCTCTTCATTTTCAGTATCCTGCTGAAGTTGATGACAACATGAAAGAGAAAATGGAGGCTATCATGCCTATGTTCACTGAAAGGGTTGACCCAGGACTGCTGCAGCTGCATCTCAGGGGATGTCTTAAGGATTATCAATGTGTATGTGTTTCAGTATATACTTTCAAATAGGGACTGTGGTTAACCTGGTGTGAGTGTATCGGATTCCTGATGATGGATCTCCTATTTGTGCCAGGACTGAGTGAGTGAGTATGGGTTTATGCCGCTGTTAGCAATATTCCAGCAATATCACTGCAGGGGACCAGAAATGGACACATTTAACCCAGGTGGGGAATCGAACCTGGGTCTTCAGCGTGACAACGCGAACGCTGTAACCATTAGGCTACCCCACCTCCCCTTTTGTGCCAGGATAGTGTATCTTATTTGTGTGTGGGATTGTGGGTCTCCTGTTTGTGTGTGGGGTGGTGGGTCTCCTGTTTGTGTGTGGGATGGTGGGTCTCCTGTTTGTGTGTGGGATGGTGGGTCTCCTGTTTGTGTGAGGGATGGTGGGTCTCCTGTTTGTGTGTGGGATGGTGGGCCTCCTGTTTGTGTGAGGGGTGGTGGGTCTCCTGTTTGTGTGTGGGATGGTGGGTCTCCTGTTTTGTGTGGGATGGTGGGTCTCCTGTTTGAGTGTGGGATGGTGGGTCTCCTGTTTGTGTGAGGGATGGTGTGTCTCTCCTGTTTGTGTGAGGGATGGTGGGCCTCCTGTTTGTGTGTGGGGTGGTGGGTCTCCTGTTTGTGTGTGGGATGGTGGGTCTCCTGTTTGTGTGTGGGATGGTGGGTCTCCTGTTTGTGTGAGGGATGGTGGGTCTCCTGTTTGTGTGTGGGATGGTGTGTCTCCTGTTTGTGTGTGGGATGGTGTGTCTCCTGTTTGTGTGAGGGATGGTGTGTCTCCTGTTTGTGTGGGATGATGGGTCTCCCTGTTTGTGTGTGGGATGGTGTGTCTCCTGTTTGTGTGAGGGATGGTGGGTCTCCTGTTTGTGTGAGGGATGGTGGGTTTCCTGTTTGTGTGAGGGATGGTGGGTCTCCTGTTTGTGTCTGGGATGGTGGGTCTCCTGTTTGTGTGAGGGATGGTGGGTTTCCTGTTTGTGTGAGGGATGGTGGAGTCAGCTAGTTTGTGTGTGGGATGGTGGGTCTCCTGTTTGTGTGAGGGATGGTGGGTCTCCTGTTTTGTGTGAGGGATGGTGGGTCTCCTGTTTGTGTGGGGTGGTGTGTCTCCTGTTTGTGTGTGGGATGGTGTGTCTCCTGTTTGTGTGAGGGATGGTGGGTTTCCTGTTTGTGTGAGGGATGGTGGGTCTCCTGTTTGTGTCTGGGATGGTGGGTCTCCTGTTTGTGTGAGGGATGGTGGGTTTCCTGTTTTGTGTGAGGGATGGTGGGTCTAGCTAGTTGTGTGTGTGGGATGGTGGGTCTCCTGTTTGTGTGAGGGATGGTGGGTATCCTGTTTGTGTGAGGGATGGTGTGTCTTCTGTTTGTGTGTGGGGTGGTGGGTCTCCTGTTTGTGTGAGGGATGGTGGGTCTCCTGTTTTGTGTGAGGGATGGTGGGTCTCCTGTTTGTGTGAGGGATGGTGTGTCTTCTGTTTGTGTGTGAGGGATGGTGGGTCTCCTGTTTGTGTGGGGTGGTGGGTCTCCTGTTTGTGTGTGGGATGGTGTGTGTCTCCTGTTTGTTTGTGGGATGGGTGTGTCTCCTGTTTTGTGTGTGGGATGGTGGGTCTCCTGTTTGTGTGAGGGATGGTGTGTCTCCTGTTTGTGTGTGGGATGGTGTGTCTCCTGTTTGTGTGTGGGATGGTGGGTCTCCTGTTTGTGTGTGGGATGGTGGGTCTCCTGTTTGTGTGTGGGATGGTGTGTCTCCTGTTTGTGTGTGGGATGGTGTGTCTCCTGTTTGTGTGAGGGATGGTGTGTCTCCTGTTTGTGTGGGGTGGTGGGTCTCCTGTTTGTGTGTGTGGGGTGGTGGGTCTCCTGTTTGTGTGAGGGATGGTGGGTCTCCTGTTTTTGTGTGTGGGATGGTGGGTCTCCTGTTTGTGTGAGGGATGGTGTGTCTTCTGTTTGTGTGAGGGATGGTGGGTCTCCTGTTTTGTGTGGGGTGGTGGGTCTCCTGTTTGTGTGTGTGGGATGGTGGGTCTCCTGTTTTGTGTGGGATGGTGGGTCTCCTGTTTGTGTGTGGGATGGTGTGTCTCCTGTTTGTGTGTTGGATGGTGTGTCTCCTGTTTGTGTGAGGGATGGTGTGTCTCCTGTTTGTGTGGGATGATGGGTCTCCTGTTTGTGTGTGGGATGGTGTGTCTCCTGTTTGTGTGAGGGATGGTGTGTCTCCTGTTTGTGTGAGGGATGGTGTGTCTCCTGTTTGTGTGAGGGATGGTGGGTCTCCTGTTTGTGTGAGGGATGGTGGGTCTCCTGTTTGTGTCTGGGATGGTGGGTCTCCTGTTTGTGTGAGGGATGGTGGGTCTCCTGTTTGTGTCTGGGATGGTGGGTCTCCTGTTTGTGTGTGAGGATGGTGGGTTTCCTGTTTGTGTGAGGGATGGTGGGTCGCTAGTTTGTGTGTGGGATGGTGTGTCTCCTGTTTGTGTGAGGGATGGGGTCTCCTGTTTGTGTGCGAGGATAGTGGATCTATCTTTTTTGTGAGGAAAAGGTCTGATATTTCTGTCAGGTCCAATGTATGTAGTAGTAGTTGGGGGAAGGGAGGCAGCAAATGTGGGGGTGGGGAGCATGGGAGGTGGTCTTGCGTCATAATGCTTTAAACACAGTTTGGTGGTGTCCAGTGTCACAGTGAGGTTGGACATTTATCAGACAATCCATGGTACTCACTCCTTGTGCCATTCCTCAAATGCACTAGGATTACCTTTTGATGGCTGTCATTTTCATCATATTGACAAATACTGGAGAGCTTTTTTACCAGTTCAGCAATAATGTCTCACAAGGGGAACTGATGGAGTTCAGTTAACACAATCTGATTCTTTTGGTTTTGCAAGTGAGTTCCTTAAATGGGATGCAAAATGTCTATGATATCTTTTCAGGAACACATACGTAATCAGTCTGATGTCAAGCCACGGCCATACGTGAACCAGACACTCTGGAACTACTTAAAGAGGGCTCCTTACTGGTGGCAGAACCTTGAGAGAGCCCTGGAGGAATGTGGATACAATAAACTGTTGGCCAAACTGAAGGAAGAATAGGATGTGGTATTGGAGTCGGGTAGATTGCTGACTTTGTGTGCTGGTGATTAGGTGTTGGACTCTTGAGGGTGTGGGTACGAATTCTGGATGGGACTCAACACAACAAAAGTATTAGAATCTATGTACTTTATGTTATATTTGGGATTACACTTTCTTAGTTAGTAAGTACAGATTCTAGTACTTTTGGGTTGAGTCCCATCCAGGATTCGAACCCACTTCCCTCTGCTTTACTGAGAAAGTGTTATTCCATATATAACATTACATGTGTCCACTTTCTAAATGGAATTGTGTATTCATAGATGCTGATTGGCGGTACTATTATCTTGACAACTAGATGAATGTAGTTGACAGTGAAGACTGCTGTTGAAAATACTGGGAGATGAGTGTTGTGTGATTACATTCAGACTAGAGGGTACCACCTTAGACAGGGCATGGATGTCTAATAGAGGTCAGTTAAGAAAGGTCCTGTCTTGCATATATGCAATTAACAGGGATTGCATCTTAGTGATTTTCTGCATATTGAATCCATTTGTACAAAATCACAACATGAGGTAGGTGAGATGACAAGTGAAAGTTGTAGATTTATTAATTTCTTTTTACACATTCTTTTACACAGACCACGTTACACCCACTCTTGCTATATATAAATTGTTAGAATTGTTAACAAAAATCTATTAATAGCAAAACATGGCACCCAGATTTGATATATCTATTTTACTTTTATATTTTCCTTAGTAACAGATTGATATCAGGCATTGACAAGATGCTTACCTTTTATGTCTACTTGGACACCGAGGGATGGCGTGGTCTCCTTTCACCATCGTCACAATGTCATTGACAGTTGGCGCGGTGAAATTACACTTCTTTTCTGTGCACTTCAGGATATCCAATTTAGCTTCACTCATAAATCCAACCAACACACAGGTATCTTCCACCGAGATGTAACTGTGTATTTGCCATACGAAATTAGATGCAATCTACCGCGTGTTCCTTCCTTTTAAATATGTTCATCATGTGAATTCACACACTCATATGTATGATAACATTGATGACATGTTGAGTGAACTATGTTCCGCCTTACGATATACTCGGTTATGGAAAATCTTAAAACAACACCTAAGCGGATTAAAGTGACTCTATAGCGCCTTCAACATCAAAGTTTACGTGAATTACTTACGTGTCCATAGTGAAATTTCAAAGGTCGAGCTTCTTGTCCATAAACCATTTGGTTTGTTAGTTTAAAAGCAGCACTCAGCGGTATTCCAGCGTCTGTAAACAAAGTGTAGAAGTGAGCACAGCTCACATACCCCGCTTCCACTGTGGGACATGGAAATGACTGATATTGATATATATAATGTGACAAGGATCAGCAGCTCACAAGACTTTCTCCTTGACACTACTAAACTTTTATATACATGTTAGATAATAGTTTTGCCATGTACCCTGACATTACAGTAATAATTTATGGAAACATTATTTTTTGTGTTTTCATTGGAAACCCTGACATACAATTGAACTTGCTGCACACAATGACTGACTGACTGACTGAGTTTGGTTTTTACCGCTTTAGCAATATTCCAGCAACATCACGCGGCTGGGGACACCAGAAATGGGCTTCACACATTGTGCCCATGTGGGGATTCAACCCGGTCTTCGGGCGGACGAGCCAATGCTTTAACCATTAGGGTACCCCCACCGTCCCTGCACACACAATGAAGTGGATGTAGATGAAGATTGTTTTTTAGCACATGGCATATCTGTGGGTCATGATTAACTTGTGTATTAAGTTTTGGTGAACCTAGCATGTATAGTTTCGATGATATGCTGTGGCCAGGTAACCATCAAACACATTTTGCACCAAGTCATGTTTCCATGGAAACAACAACAAAACAAATTCTGAAAAAATTAAAATAGAAAAGGCACATCAATGGGTAATGATTAACATGTGTGTGAAGTTTGGTGAACTCTAGCATGTAAACTTTAGGAGTTTATGTCTCGGACAAAGTTTCGGGACGGACAGGCGGAATGAATATTATATACCCCCGTTACTTCAGCGGGGGTATAATAATCGAAGTCTGTACCATACAATCCAGTGCCTCGATCTATGTAATTGGGATACGATGACATGTGTCAACCAAGTCAGGGGAGCCTGACCACCCGATCCCGTTAATCACCTCGCATGCGACAAGCATGGGTTACTGAAGACCAATACTAACCCGGATCTTCATGGGAGCCATCTGAACTTAAACCACGCTTGGAAAGTTATGTCCATTGTTCCTGGAAGTGTTTAATTAGCATAACTGAATAACTGCCCTGGGGCAATTATTTCGATTGAAAAACAATAAAATTGTACTCATTTTGATAATCTTCATCATGCCAAATACATTACACGCGGTATTAAATAAGTATGCCCTTGTGGTGTAAGCCGTTTATTTAAATAACCACTTTGTAAGGGTGATTAACCTATACATGTAACAGTGTGTAAATAAATGTCATTTTAATGTGTTAAACTTCATTATTTTAAACTTAGGTATAAAACTTTATCATTATCAAACTGGCCTGTGTTAACACTAACACTTGCACTGTTTAACTAATTCACTGGTAAGCTAGCTTGGGGTCTATTGTTAAGGGTAAGTGATCTGTGTCAGGTTCAATCTCTGCATTGGCCTGTTGTCAAGGTTCCTATTGTTTCATAGGTTTCAGCTTCTCTCATCATATTTAAAGCTTTCTACTGCCTTTCATTTGTGGTAGTATACATTTTTCTCCTTGAGACCAGAATACCTGCACAGCACCAGCACATTATGGGGGTAAGTTGCTAGATCTTTTAGTATTACATGTGTTGTAGTGCTATTAGGATTTAGTGTATTAGATTACATATTTTAAGGAATAGTGTTTTATCATATTTAGTGTATGTAAGGTGTTTGTCTATAAATATATGCATGCTTAGTATTTTAGACAAATATATGATGTATTGTGTAAATTAGTACACTAGTATACTACCATGATGCTGTAATTTGTACCATGCATATGTAGTATGTATAAGTATATGTATTAGCTATTTCGATGATTGGCATGATACAGTAATGTATCATGTATGTTTATTATAAGGTTTTAGTTTCTATATGCATATTTATGTATGTATTAGGGTAAATAACTATTTATGTGTTCGCTAACGCCATTTATGATGTATATCTGTATATACTAGCAGTATACTTAGGCAATACTTTGTTTATTTAGGTTCACTGAGAATCAGATGTTTTAGTAACTGTTGGCCTCTATTCTGCCTAAGCCCCTGAGACGAGGTGAGGTATTATTTTTCAGAATGTGATTGTAAATATTAGTAATCATAATTGTTATATATGTGAGTAATAATCAGAGTACATGTCTTTGCTTAAATCTGGATGATTGGCAGTTATCAGATGTATTAATAGTATAGTGGTAACCATATTGAATGTATAACATGATAATCATTATTTCATGACAAGAGACATGTATTAATTGATGGATATTTTGTTATTCAGGGCGCTTTTGTTATAGTTCAGCCAACTGGGGATCTCCTTATCCCACTTCACCAGCGCCGAATAAATCCCTTGAAACCCCCACACAAGTGTTCGGCTATCATTGAACCAACACACAGTGTATACAGAATACCTCCGCTACATACATATCAAGTATTACACCTTTTCCCATAACAGTAAAATTTAACATTTCCCGGTGAGGTGAGGTGAAATTGGGTTTACGCCCCTGCTTGAAGAATATTTCCCCGCTCATATGGCCGGCGTGCATGCGGTGTATGTGAGGCTGCTTGTACTAGCCCAGACTGAAGCTGGATTTATAGTGCTAGCCCACTGAGATACCATGCCGCAGTGAAGCATGAATACCCCACTCAGACACATTATACTGACTCGAGCCGACCAGTCCTTGTTGTACCCATTAATGCGGCCAGGCAGGGACCAACAAGTACCATATTTTGCGCCTTTTGGTATGGCGTGGTCGGGGGATCGAACCCGCGACCTTCGGGCTCTAACCACTACACCCGCGGTGGCGGTCTAACATTTCCAGTGGACACAAAGGAACCTTATACTATCTCCTTTGTAGTTGGTTGGTTTTGTTTAATAGCGCCACACTCAGCAATATTCCACTGATATGGCAATGGTCTGTAAATAATCAAGTCTGGACCAAGTAATCCAGAGGTCAACAGCATGAGCATAGATCTTGGGATGTGATGTGTCAACCAAGTCGGGCGAGTCTGACCACCCAATCCCATTAGTCGCTTCTTACGACAAGCATGAATTGCTGAAGACCAAATCCACCCCGGATCTTCATGGGTCATCTCCTTTGTCCATCATGGTGCTTACTCTGTTGGACAACACATGCACCCATTGTACTGGTATAAAAGCCACACATGTGCACCTTTGTACAACAGAAGTACAGCATGTTCGAAGCTTGGACCTGATCAAATGAATACTAATGTATTGTATGACCGCGTGTCACAGCTGGTTGGGTCTATTATTGACCGAAAGGTCACCTTTTCACATCACAGTGTTGAGATGCAGTTTCACAATCAGCCGGCAATATTCAACTTTCTTTTAAAAAATGAAGCTTCAAACATATTGCAGTTGAACATGAAATAAAAAAGAAGATAATTGACCTGGGGTGTAGAGTGTGATAGCGAGAGTGAATCGGATTGTGAAAGTAACTGACGCCTGTACATTGTAAAGTTAGTAAACCAAACTAGATAGCATATGACTGGATAAACAATTCAATTAAAACACGAAATGATTGTTTTTCAGAAGTGTTGTTTTCTGGGACAAGTTCTGTAACGAATCCATGCATGCATGTTTTGCACGGAAATGCAACATTAATAACTAGAGAATGTTAACTCCACCTGCCGTTTGTGCCATTGTACCTCCGGGTCATGCATATGTAGAGTAGCTCAGGTCAAGCTGAATGAGCTGTAGCATCCAGCTTGGTATAGCTTCATCATGGACAAAATACAAAGGCCTTAATGCCAACCCTGAAAGGTTTTATTAACATCAATTTTGTACAATTCAACAATCTTAAGAACAGAGCCCTTATTCACATGGAGATATAGTGTATCTAAACAATCACTAGCAGCAGGTGGTAGACAGTATAACCTGACTAATTTTCGGTGGCTCACATG